GCAGTGGCAGCATAATTTGGTGCTCAGATGCCAAGAGAAACCCCAATGTTGAGTCTGAAACCTTCACGACTGGTATTTTGGCACTGGTGTGACACTGGCAACAGGTATCACTAGCACCAAACAGAAGCCCACGGGAGAATCTCATTAAGTGAGAAAAAAGAATCTAGAGTCTACACATTACTCCTCAGTCAAATGTTTGAATCTTGCATCCAACTAAGACAGCCACACGGCCTGCTTTTAGCTTCATCTCTTATTTGCCTTCCCACTGGCCAGGGAACACAACAGCCTAACAAGTGATCAAGAGTCGGCATTAATGGCGAGCCAGCTGTGGCTTCCTCCCTAGGGGTGAACACGTGTTAAACAGTATAGTGAGCTGGGGGCAGCAGTCAGGAAATGGGAGGATGGGCTCTGTGTGAGCAAATGCGTGGCTTGCTTAGGAGTGCAGGATACAGATTTGCAAATTATACCTCTTTGAACACTGGCTGAGGCCACATATGAAATAACCTCTGTAATTTTCATGTGTACCTGGTGGGAAAGATTCATGAATATCAAACACCTGTGAAACTGGAGGGTTTTGTCCCCCCACCCAGAGGTCTATTTGCTCCTTTTGAAAGTGTCAGGACTAGAAGACCGAAGCAACACTAACAACAACAAAAAAGCTTCCCAAGTGATTCTTATTTAGTTCCCATACCTTTGAGGACCATGGCTCTAGTGGAACGGGAATGAACAGGAATGATTTAGAAACAAAAAGTTAAACCTTTATGCCCATTTATTCAATAAGGATAGAATCTTGCTCTCTCTACTTTGAGAATAATAGCTAACAGTAATTGTTCAATAAATGTTAGCTATTATGTGCCAGGCACTGTCCCAAGAGCTATACCTATAATAACCACACAATCCCATTTTACAAACGAGAAAAACCGCTTCACAGAGAGGTTAAGGAACTTGCCCAACATCACACAGCTAGGGCTTGGATTCAAAGCTAGGCAGTTTGGCTACAGAGAATATGTTTTTAACCATTATTCGTAATATTGTAAAGAATATAATAGAACCATGCATGAGAAAAGCATTTTACTTTGAAAAGTTAAGGTGCTCCAAGAAGCTGCTGAATGAACTTCCTGGAGGGAACAGTCTATGTGGCTTCCAGACAGCACTTGCTACATTTACAGCTGCTCACAAACAACTTCACTCAAAGGACTTGAAAATCTGATCTTTGCCTGTTTCTCTCAAATGCTGACTTTAGTCTACCGAAGTGCCACAGGTAAAGTGACTCCTTTGACAACCGAAAATAAAGAGAAGAACTCTGCAGACCAGGTGCCTCACACGGGGCTTGGCACCCAGGTGATGAATAAAATGTTGACTGAATTGAAAGCCTTCCAGTCAAAGGCACTTTGAAATGTGCTATTCATAGTCCACAAAATGGCTTGAATACAAATTATTTAGAATGTCAAAACAGGAAGGGGCATGTGGCAAGTTAAGGAAATTAAAGAGAAATGAAGTATAAATGGAATACTAAACCTTTGAAATTCAAAATAAAGAACCTGGTTATATATCCTTGAAATCCTCTTTCTTGGCTTAGCCAGGAAATGGGAGGGGTAAGCTCTGGGGATGGAATAAGCCTATTCTTTAATAATATAATACTTCTTATTTGTGTTCTATATACTTGCTGTAAGCATACTGATCTGAACAAGCTGCTTAATATGCTCAGGTGATTTTTTTTAAAAGGCTGACTTTACCCCACCACATTCCCTAACGACCCTTGCACTTTTTAACAAGCATTTAAACATAGCTCAGAAATAAAAAAGGCTTTTCTGCCACTTTAGACAACAAAATGGGTTCCTTAGAACAATGCTGAGCTTGTATTCCTAGCACTAGATCTAACGAAGCATTAGACTCACATCATGTCCAGCAAGATGTTGTGTTTGGCCTCCCCATAACTTTTATCCAGTATCTAAAGAGCTAATAATGCATAAAGCAGGGTTTTCCATAATTCCCAAGAATTTAATGAGTGATGGTTAGTTAGTTCACAATGTGGCATGATCCAAACCTAGGCAGCCAAAGAACCTCCTATGGACACCTGTTGAGAAGTAGGGAGAGCTGATGAACAAGAGCTCACTGGACCCATATTCAGCCCTTTAATTGCCATGTGGAGGACAATAACTCAGTTTCCCCAACATGACATTCTCCTCTAATCTCTCTTCTGATGCACAGCTGTAAAATGCTGCGCATGCTACCTAGTTGTGAACTCATTCTATGAGGCTACTCAGCCTTTGCTTTATGAGCAGTGTGAAGGGAAGTCCAGGAAAAATAGATCTGAGAGTAGCAGTTTATCTGCTAGGATAGGCTCTCAAAAAGTGCATGCTGAACTGATATATGACCGTACAAGATCATGACCATAGGCTGATTTCAAGCTGGGGACTAAACAACACACACACACACACACACACACACACACACACACACACACACACACTAAAAAGTTATCTCCAGGCATCCATATTGCCCAGCTGAGGTTTTAAAAAATGCCTCCTATACTGGGTTTCCCGAAAGTCTTGGTGAAGTTTTAAGCTTTTAGGGCTAGAGATGGGGTAGTGAGCTGAACTCACCCTCTGCCAGTCCAACAGGGATAGCTACAGATGGTTTTGATTTATCATCAGTTAAATGTGCAGCCCAGATTAAAGGAAACATTTTAAAGGACTAATTAGTCAACCCTCACAAAAGTAAATTAAGGGCCTGTGATGAAACAGCCAAAGGAAACTCTAATACAGCACTGTAGCAATAATGCTTGGAGTGTATTCAAATGGAAAAGCTTGGGCTGGAAATACTTGTTTAGAAAAAGAACTACATCACTCCACCCTACTTCATCAAGTAATTCAAGCCATCTTAAGCGCTCAAGGTCTGACCAAGCAAGACAATATTTATTAAAACTTCTTTCAGCTTGAACTAGATCATATCCTTGGGAATAAACAAATTTTATTCAATGAACAAGTAGAAGGGATTCTTGATTACTACTATAGTTCTTTTGTGTAGACTGCTTCTAGGTTAATGCAAAAAGCTCAGAAAAGGATATCAGATAAGGTAAAAAGCTTTATTATTCAGGATCAGCTCAAAGTCTGACACTGACAGAGGCAGGGATAATTATTATCTCATTACATTTGACCTTTGGCACCCATTTGAAGTACTAGTTTTACAAGTGGGACGTGTTACAGCCAGTAGACTCTCAGCACAGTTCCTGCCAGCCACATTTACCCCAATTTCACTCAGCAGAGCTGTTAGATGTTCAAGGATACAAAGAATGTAATTATCTAGTTATCCTTTTTCCCCTCCACTTGGCGTTCAAAGCAAGAGACAGATATCATTATTAGTAGATATGGTCATAAGCAACACCTTCCCATAGCCTAACATTCAAAAATCAAACACCAATTATAAGTAGAATTCCTAAATACTCAGTTAATGCTATGGAGTGCTTTGTTTCAAAAACAGCAATTCTGTGGCTTCCCTTTACTTATTTTTCTCCTTGGAGAAAACCACGCGTAATCAACATATGTAGTGCAGGTTGTTACAAGCTTGACTTATAGGAAGCAAAGGAATTAAAAAGTTGTCATTAAGAACAGATTTTTAAATTATGACAAAAATATGAATAAACTCTACACATTTCTCAGGGTTATGGATAAAATGAATCAAGTTTCATGATTGTTAGGGGAGTCCCTTCTAAGGATGTAGCACATAGAAAGTACATGGAACTTGTTTCTATGAGCTTATAAAGGGGACAAATATAAAACAACAGTTCAATTCAAGATGATCGACATGTAACTGTTGGTTAAAGGAGAAGATGCTCAAGATATTCTGTACACTATTAACTTAGAGTCAGTCTAAACATCTTCTACATTAAATATCTAGAGAAATTTCCATGACTTTTCAGCTCAGGGCTATTCTAGAGGGTCACTGTTTTTTGTTTTTTTCATATATATACATGAAGAAAATCCAAAAAATCAAGTTAAAAAGCCAAGAGTTGTTTTTTAGGTTCTGGGTTTTCAGTTCAGACCTATCTTCTTTTATAAAAGTATCAATCAGAGATGATTACTTTTTCTTAAAATCTGATGACTTATATTTTGAAAAACTTGCAGCCCCTAGAGAACTGAAGATGATTTCACACCCCAGCTTCCATGCAGGACAATTGATTTTATAAGTATCTTTGTCTAGTAAGTGGCAAAACCATAACCTCTTATAGAACATGATGTTGGGTTGCTACATAGTAAATTGCTTAGTAAAAAATATAAGAGTCATAGTCTCATATGGGAGATACATTTGGGGGAAAAAGGCCAAGTAAAGGTTTCTAGTGTTGTTCTCCTAGTTTCTCCAAAGCGTTGACATTTATCACTGCTCTGAAAATAAAGATGATTTTAACTTAAGAAGACTGTATTTTAACACTGAATCAATATAAATGTACTTATCTGAACATCACATTTTTACACATACTAAAAACAAAACAAAACAAAAAAACCAAAAGTGTAGTGAAAAGATTATATAAATTTTAAATGAAATTATATTTGTTTGAGGCAGCACAGATCCAGGGGTCCCCAGCAGAAGACTTCTTCAGCACTTGGCCTTCACAGACAGGCCTCCTGCTGTGACCAGCAGATATTTTCCACTGTGTACCCACAGTCTCAGAGTAACAAGAGACAAGTCTTACTTTTTGCCTCTATGAGCTGGGATGTCATTATTGTAGAGAAGAGGCATAATTTAAAAAGTGAAGACTATTCATTCAAAATGTTACAGAGTGACAAACTTACTTTATGGAATTTAAACACAGCATTCACCCCAAGGAAGCTGCATATAAGCTTAGAACCAGAGTAGGTAAGCTTCAGAGTTGAAACGATTTTTCTCTGAAAATGAAAGAATGGTAGCTTTCTTAAAGATCAGAGTTACTGAATCACTCTGTTGTATTTTTTGTCTTGTTTTAAGGGGCCAAAGTTCAGTTAACTCACTCAGATTAGAATCTATAATTCTGTTGACTGTTCGGGACTACAGTAGTCATCTTGAGATTTTCTATGGAAGTATGTACAGATTTTCCTCATGGAGCTGGGAGTAATAGTGACCTAGAAAAAGAAAGTTTAGATTTCAGAGATTTTCTAAGATAAAGTTCAGCTGTTACTTCAGCAAGTTATCAGTAAAGGGTATTTTAAGTTGGGATGCCTAGAAATTTGATTATTTAGTCAGCCAGCTTTCAAGTTCCAAATACTTTGAGGGCAATGTCTCTTTTGGCTGATTTGTACTGAATTTAATAAAAATTTAATAGATGTATGTAAGAATGGAAGGCATAGATTTTTCATGTGAACTGAAAATATTTACTAGTTAAACCTCCTGATAAGACCTAAAGGCTATAATAACCCTCCTCTTTGAAAGAAATGAGTAAACCACCACCCCCCCCCCCCCATTTACAAATGGGACAGGGATTCAAATGGCAGCTGCTACCCTTTTCTGAGGAAGTCTTATCATTATGCACATAAAGAAGAAAAACCTTCTAAAGAAACTTTAGCTTCAAAGATTGAAATTATAAAACTGGAAATATATGGGACTGGCACACTATTTTTAAAAGCCTTTATAATGTACACATTAGTGAAAACAATTTTTCACTGAAATTATTTTTCTGATAACACACAGCTGAGATCAGTTCTGGAAAAAAAGGATTTTGGTCAGGGGCAAAAAACAGATACAAAGATAATTTTAGGAGAAGAAAGAAAAGATTCCTGATACCTGTTTTCTTTCCCCATGTTCTGTAGCAAGATCTTGGTTGGATTCTGTGTTTTAAGTAATCTTTAAAATATTTCTAGTTTATTTTCCCTAAAATTATGGGACAGGCTTCAGGACAGTAGGATGGGGGATATGAACACTTATTAAACTAGAGCTGGCTTGAGGCTCTCCAGCTTTTAGATTGAATTTTAATCATTGTACCACCTTCTTAACACAGAGCAAGAACCACTATGAATCAGAGCAGAAACTTTGTGAACCTACCCCCCCGCCACTTGCAAACTGATTACCTGAAGCTTTCTAGTCCCTCTGACCTGTGCCCATACTCACTCGATGCTCATAGCTACTTCTCCCTCTGCCATTTCAATAGGTCATTTGCTTTTCAAGGTTCACAAACCTATTTCTGCCAGCAATATATGTTTTTGAAATTATTTAACTTCAATATTGTGTCAATGAAAACAGTAGTCTTAAAAAGATAAGTGAAACTAACCTGAATGTTTAAAAAGTATAGATATAGATGAATTGCCAAAAATACTGGTGTGAGCAAGGTGACGGTAAAAAAATGGCGGGAAAATCATAAAAATCTGGAAGGATTCTGCATTTAAATTGCTTTAAGCATCTAAGTTTCACTGTATTTGAAATAATCATAAACCATAATGACCAAACTGGAAATCTATTCATGGATGTTGGTAACTTGCCCATGAATGTCAGTTTTATCTATAAAAAGGGGAGGGAACCTATAAAAAGTGGTTGCCAGGGGCTGGCTAATGGGGAAAAGAAAAAAAAAACAAAAAACGCAGGGGTTAAGTGGGGAGGGAATAATGCCAAACAAAGAAGAGGGAAGATATTTTTGAATTGATATATTGGAGCATGATGAAGGCTTTGAGGAAACAGACACCAGGGCTGAGTGGTATGGACCTTCACGGAGGGGATTTTAATGGGAGTAAATCGGGTTGCTAGATAATGAAATACAGCAACACCTAGTTACATTTGAATTTCAAACAAATAACCTTTTAGTATAAAGAATTTTTAGTATAAATATGTCCCACGCAATATTTGTCCTGAATTTTTATGTGCTAAATCTGGCAACCCTAGGTATAAATAGATTTACTGAAAAAAAAAAAAAAAAAAAAAAAAAAAATCCTGACTTCTGAGAAGGGATTTGTGCTTGACCTCCTCAAGTTAGAGAATCTATGTTCTCACTGGCTCCTTTCAAGTTAGGAAATGCATCTTCCCACCACTGCCGACTTACCGGGCCTGGAGAAGTCTTTCCACTCTGTCTCCTAGAATTGGGGGTCTGGGAGGATGGACTTCGGGGAGATGAATTCTCAGCCTTCCGTTTGGCCGCCATGGCCAATAACCAGTTTTTATTCTCCGGGGAGCTATTCTCTTTGCCTACCACCTCAGACCCTTCTCCACAAGATCCCAAAGGAAGAGGTAGTGTTCCGCAGCTTTCTGAAGCATAAGGACTGGCGGGAGAAGGAGGCTCTGAGATACTCATACTAGCTCCTTCAATCTTGCTTGGTTTGGGAGGACCTAGAGAGTCCTTACCAAGGTCTTCCTGGCTACCAGCAAGGCAGCACAGATCCAAATGAAGCTTTTCAACTGGGTCATCAAGCTCAGTCACACAGTTGCAACTCTTAACACACTTCTGTTTCACACTCTCCAGACAACTTGAGTCCAGCCTCCTCTTGACTCGATTTCTGGACTCTGAGCAAGCCACTGCTTGGGATGATTTTAGGCTCACAGGAATGAGGGCTTTTCTTGGAGAAGTGATCTTGGTTTCAGAAGCAGGTGGCGTGATGGGTGGTGAGGAGGATGGTGTTCGGGTCATCCAGTTTCTAATGGACATCTTGAAAGACGAGGGTGGCTTGGGAGAGACCGAGGACACAGAGCCTCTTCTGCTGATGGGAGACCGGGCTTTGGCAGGAGGGGTTTTAATAGAGAATGTGGGAGTATTTGAAGGAAGAGGGAGGTCTCCTGCACAGCTTGGAGCACAAGCTGCTGATGATGGGGAAGAAATAGATGGACTGCTCTTTACTCTGGGGGCCTTGGCAGGAGTGCTCTGGCTACTTGTCACTGTTACTGAAAAAGAACAGAGGGTCACAAAAATCAGAAGAGAAAGCCATAGAAAATCCCTGAATTCTCACCAAGGAAAATTATAACTAACTTACTCATATAGGAATGGATTTCCCAGTGAGTCGATTACATAAATCACTTGATTCTTACCACACCCTTTCAGCATTTTCCTTCCCCTTTCCTAACTGCCAGCCTCCCAACCACTCTGTTGTAAAACATTTACTTGTAATAATCTAGAAAATATAGAAATATTGAAGGGAAAATTTTAAAGCATCCAGGTACACCACTTACAGCATTTTTTCTATATTTGTGCATGTGATATATATGTTATACACCTCAAATTTTTTGTATACAAAAGAGACCATAATGTATATACTATTCAGTAACCTGCTTCTTAGCGTATAATGGACCTTCCCCACATTAATATAGATGTACATTATAATTTTTACTAGCTACCAAGTATTCTAAGGTAACAGCAAGACATTTAAGTTGTTAATGATATTTTGTTTTCACAAGTAAAGTTGCCATTACAATTCCTGTATATGCTTTGGAGCAATGTGAGGGCAAGGGGGCACTGCACAGTGGTTCCCAAACATAAGTGCACTGGTCTAAAATTTGGCACGACCATTTACTACTGACTTGAACACAACCCTTTACCTCCTCTGCTTCTGCTTCAGTTTCCATATCTGTGAAATGGAGAGCTTTTAATGTCCACAGGAAATAATCCCATCAATTGCTTGTTAAAGTTATTAGGCCTCACTTGGCTTTCCACCTTAATTTATAAATGGCTACTTTCCGCAAGTCAAAGAATGCCAAAGAACATTTGCAAAACCAAATGCTTGCTCTCAGTAAAGCAAGTCAGTGGACAGAACTCTTCTCTATGTGTCTTGTCCCTTGTTTATAAGCAATGGCAAGCCCTTGAGGAAAATTCTTATAAACTTCATGCTTCTTCCCACTTTGGCCCCGCCATAGACAACTCTGTATTTTCTTACTTTCCTTCTGAGCTTTCTGGATTTCTGAAATAGTGTTCCTGTCTCTAGTACCAAGGAAAGGCCATCAATTATTTCTAAGTCACAAACTCTTTGAATTATAACTCTGATATTTAATTCAGCTTAATTACTGAATTGCATTTATATGCAACTGAATTTAGGATAAGCCGACATAAGACAATCACTAGAATACAGATTCACAAGCACTAATTTCAGTCATTTAGTTACCCTGTATGTTCTACCCTGTGCTTTTTACTCATCAAGCAGTTTTGCCTTGAGACAGAGAAATTCTACAAACTGACTTTTGCCTAAACTTTCCCCATCAACTATACGTTCAGAAATGGCCAAAGTGATACTGCTCTTATCAATTAAGATCATTTTACTGGAAAATCCCATTCTGGAGTAACGTGCTCCAGAAGGAGAGTTAGTGACAGGGACTGTCCCTGAAGCATCTGGTGATAGTTCTCATATTCTAGAGCTTGATTAGTCATTATTTCAGGAGGACAGAAACTTTTCATTTGTGTCACTCTTCAGCACAGATCAACAGTCACTGCACAGTCCCTACAGTTATTAGTTCCACGAGAGTGGGCTGAAGGGTAGGGTTAAGGGAGAAAGTCCTAAAATAGCATGGGTCTTAGAACAGGCACATTCTAACACAGGATTAGGGGAGAAGGAAAAGCTGGGCCCTGGGCTAAGCAGGTATCTAAGTTTCTGATACCTGAGTAGCAGACATCTGAAGTGTTTACTAAGGGTCAGAGGGAGATCTGATGTGGTGGAAAGCTGGGCATTTCTCTTCCTTTAGGATGTTAAATGGAGGAAGGAGTGGGCCATGGGGTTTCAAAGAGAAGATTTTATTAACTTTGAAGGTTAACAAAACTCTGCACCAAATTTCAATCTTTTTAAAAAAATAGTAATAAGATTATTAAGATAATAAAATTTCATGGTAAAAAAAATTCAGTTTCAAAGGGAAATTAAGCGAAAAGTAAAAAGCCCTCTTTTCAACCTCATTTTACTCGTGTGCATCCCACAATTTTCTAGATGCCTATTACCACACAAAGGTATATCAGATCTTAAAAACCCAACAATGGATTATTACACAAACACACACCACATACACACATTCTGCAATTTCTTCTTTTCTCTAAACAGTGTTTTTTCTCTATATCTCTATAAACTTAGACACACTGCATTCTTTTTAACAGCTACACAGTATGTCACTCTATGGTCCCTCGATTTAAATATAACATGGCCGGTAGTACATCATCTACTGAACTCCCATTGACCCGAAGCACTGTGTGAGATCTGAGGACATGGTATCACAAACTGCATTACTGCCCTAAGGGCCTCCTGCAAGTCAGTTCTTTTGAGGAATTATAGAAAGCTTACTAATAATCAGTCACTTTGCAGCTTCTTTCTGTATAAGAGTTTGCCATTTGGCCTCAGCCTACCTTTCCAGTCATATCATGTACTGCTACTTTAGGATCCTGTGACAGGAGACTACTCACTGCTTCCTGAACAAGCTGTGCACTGTCACATCTCTGTCTTTGTTCATGTGGCTTTCTTGCCAAGTCTGCCCCTTCTTGGCCAGGTAAAACTTCTCCTCATGTTTCAGGCTCTGATGACAGCCGTTAACTTCATTGTGAAGATTTCACAAACTTCTTTCCTCCTCTCCCACAGGAAGTAGGCTCCTTTTGTTTATACAGCTAAGAGAAATGTATACAATGTACTACAGGGCTTTTGTATCTGCCTCCTGGACTAGACTGTGAGCACCTAGAAGGCAGGTGATGATAATTTACTCATTTTTAGGTCTAGGGCCCCTGTAGTACCCAGCAAAGAATTATTAAACAATGTTTGTGAAATTTCATTACTGCTGAGAGGGATGACAGTGAGGTTCCATGCATCAAAAAACAGACTCTGTAAGCATTCTGCAGACTTGCAAGACTATGGCAAGCACATGAGATAGTACAGGTAAGGTTTCCTTCTCTTCAAGATAAGGACAATCATCTTTGTCACTCAATAATGCCTAGACCAGAGGTTCTCAATCCTGGCTGCATACCAGAATTACTTGGAGCTTTTTAAGAATACAGGTACTTGGCCACCACCCCAGACCTACTGAATAATCTCTGGGGACACACAAACTTTTAAAAAGCTCCACAACTGGTTAAGATGCACAGCCAGGGTTGAGAACCATTTGCCTTGACAGTACTGAGATCGCTGGCTGAAACAGTGACACAATAGTAAGCGATAGAGCAGGTGCTGGCTGGGAAAAGTAGGGCAGAGGGAAAAGGCGCTCTGCCTCGGGTTTAAAGCCTTATAGTTGGTGTGTTAAGAGGGCCAGAAGAGAAGATACGAAGCCCAGGACAACAGTGAAGGATTGGGGTGGCAATTAGAAGCTTGGGAAAGCAGAGGACCATCATTTTCAAACTGGTAGTGTGATTAACAGCAGCCACTCTGCTGCTGGAAGCTGGATTACAGGGCTGAATAGCCAATGTGCCAACCTTTGGCATTCAAGTGGGGTTGATTTTCTTTAGTGCTCTTCAGAGTAACTCTAGCAGCACCCTGAATGGAGAAATCTTGGTTGGGTCTTAACTTGAACTACGCTTTCCTGTGTTGGGTTTTAAAGGAGGCAGTACTGGAGAGTGCTTCCAAGCATGCACTCTAAATGTTTATTTATTTTTTAAGAAACGGAGAGACAGAGTGTGGGTGAGGAAAGGGCAGAGAGAGAGAGAGGGAGATAAAGAATCTGAAGCAGGCTCCAGGCTCTGAGCTGTCAGCACTGACCAAGCACGCACTCTAAAACCAGACTGCAAGTGTTTGAAGTCTGGTTCTACTACAAACTTCACAGCTGTGCGGGATCTTAGGCGAACCTAACTTCCTTGAGCTTTAGTTTCGGCTGTTTGGGAAACTAAGTAAGATAATCCAAGTGGGTCTTTAGATTGTCTTTGCTCATACTCAATAATGGCTGAATGTGGTCGCTATTATTATGGTCCAAACTTGGTCAACATGTATAACTCTTTTTGCGACTTGGCTTCCAAAACCAAGAATAATTAATGATACACTAAAAATAATTAAAAGCAACTTCACTTTTCATTAATACTCTTAAAATGGTTACAGCAATTAACATAGAAATGCCACCTCTGGGAATCTATTTTAATGGGATGAGGGAACCTTAAATTCAGAAAAAAGTTTCACAAAATTTTGGAAACAAAATGTCCAACTACGAGAGAATAGCTAGATAAACTGTGGAACATTTACTCAGTGGACTATTTTAAATATTTTGCTAAAAAGATAACACAGAAAGTGCTTAGAACATCATGTTCAGGGAAGACGTCCCCAAGAAATCCAAATGTATTTACAGTATAAACATGATTCTATTAATAAGAATCTCTGTGGAAAAGGAGGAAAATCTCAAAAATAAGTTAAAATGTTAATTAAAATTATTTGTGAGTGGTAGAAACACTGATGGCTTTTTACTCACACGATTCTTCTCTTTTTTGTTTTCCCAAATTAGGGATAGATAAGTAAATATAAAGACAAGGCAGCTGATAGACATCTATGTTCACGGATCACAAAAGTTAACACACCTTTAAGATGGCAGTATTCCCCAAACTGAACTATAGATTTGATATAATGCCTATCAAAATCTCAGGGAACTATTTTGTAGAAATTGACAAGCTGGTTCTAGTATCTGTATAGAAATACAAGTGACCAAGAATAACCAAAATAATCTTGAAAAAGAAGAAAATTGGGGGACCCAGAGTTTCCAATTTCAAAAACTTGCTACAAAGCTATAGTAATCAAGACAATGTAGTATCAGCCTAAGGATAGACATATACATCAATGGAACAGCATGAGAATCTAGAAATAAATCCTTACATTTATGGTCAATTGATTTTTGGCAAGGGTATGAAAATAATTTAATGGAGTAAAGAATAGTCTCTGTTAAAAATGATACTGGGGCGCCTGGGTGGCGCAGTCGGTTAAGCGTCCGACTTCAGCCAGGTCACGATCTCGCGGTCCGGGAGTTCGAGCCCCGCGTCAGGCTCTGGGCTGATGGCTCGGAGCCTGGAGCCTGTTTCCGATTCTGTGTCTCCCTCTCTCTCTGCCCCTCCCCCGTTCATACTCTGTCTCTCTCTGTCCCAAAAATAAATAAACGTTGAAAAAAAAAAATGATACTGAGAAACCTGGATATCCATGTATAAAAGAATGAATTTAGATCCTTAACTTATATCGTACACAAAAATAAACACAAAATGGACCAGATGGCTTAAAACTAAAAATCTCTTTGTGACCTTGGGTTAAGAAATGGTTTCTTAGATACAACATCAAAAGCACAAATTGACAAAGGATAAAACAGGTAAGTTGGATTTCATCAGAATTAGAAAATTTTGTGTCAAAGGACATCATTAGGGAAGTAAAAAGACAACCTACAGAATAAGAGAATATTTGCAAATCGTTATATGACAAAGGGCTTATATCCAGAGTATATAAAGAACACTTACAACTCAACATTAAAAAGACAAATAGTCCAATTAAAATTTGGGCAAAAGATGTGCAGAGGCATTTCTCCAAAGAAAATATACAAATGGCAAATAATAAGCACAGGAAAAAATGCTCAATATTGTTAGCCATTAGGGAAATTCAAATCTAAACCACAATGGATACCACTTCACATTCACTAGGAGGTCTGTAATTAATTAGACAACAACAAGTGCTGATAAAGATATAGGGAAATTGGAACCCTCATTTTGGATAATGAAAATATTCCACAATGAGATTGTGTTGATGACTGCCTAACTCAATATACTAAAGGCCACTGCACTGTATACTTTAAATGGGTGGACTTATGGTAGGTAAATACATCTTGACAAGTCTCTTAAAAAAAAAAAAAAAAAAAAAAAAAAAAAAAAAAAAGAGCCTCAAGGGGGAAAAAAAGTTCAGGAAATAAAAAGTAACAGCAGTTTACTATCTAACTCCCTTCTGAATAGAAAAAAACCAAAAACAAAAAGCTAACTCCTGTTCAAACCAAAATTATGATCCTGTATTGGGAAGATAGGGGAATGCAGAGCATGCAGAGGCTTGGTAATGGTGGGGACACAGAGAGCGAAATCCTCATCTCACAAAGTGAGACGTCAGTAGATAAAGTTGAAAACAAAACAAAAATCAAAAGAAACAGAAATGCACAAATACTATTCAGAGATATAGACACACATATCAAAGAATCAGCTAGAAGATTTGAGAGTGGCTGTCCCTGAGAAAAGGGAACTATGGGGCAGGGCATCTAGGGACTGTTTATCTCGTTCACTGTTGAAGGACTCGCTGGCTTTTTAAACTTATATAATAGTAATAAAAGAAAAATTTTTTTAAAGAGAGGAAACACCAAACACTAAAAAATAAAGGCATCAAAGGCTTTACTAAAGCAGACCTACAAGTAAAAGACCCTCCCCTGGAATCCAGTTCTGCTTATAGCATCTTTTAAGAGACTAAAGAACTAAGTCATTAGAAAAATGGGCATATATTCGGTCTCATCTTCAATTCCCCATTAGCTTAGGCCTTGATGGTTAACGTAAAATGAATCTTTAAGTTTGAATTTCCAGCTTATTACTATATATCTGTTGATAACATGAGAATCCCCTCTGTCTGGTCCAGTGCTTGGAAGAGTTTTGCTCTTGGTGTACTATCACTCTCTTCAATACTGTCTCTGTCAATTCATGGTTATTACAAAATCCACATACATGGTCTTTCCAATGCCTTGGTTTCTACAGCCTTGTCCTTTAATTCACTCAAGCCACTTACTCCTTGACCTTATTACTACCAATCTGCAAATCCTGTTATCTCAGTTTCAACCACCACCTATATTACAGTTCACTTTAGTGATCAATCTCCAAAATCCCTCATCTCTAGGGGATCCTCAATTCATTTATCTTCCCACTTTGACACTATCCCCTAGTGCCACTATATGCTCACTTCCTTCCTTACCCAGTTTAAATCCTGCAGTCAACCATTACAACCATCCTCTCATATCTACCCTCAACTTCCTTGGCCCTCCTCTCACTTTACACTTGTGGATTTAAACCACACCTCTGGTTAAATGCAACTCCGCACCTATAGTGTATCTGTACCTGGGCAGCAGACAACCATTAGACACTGCTCACTTGCAATTCATGACCACTAGCCTCAAGTTGACCCACTGCCCAACAACCGTATTTCCCTGGTCCACTTTCTCTTCTTTTCTCTGCGTGACTATTTCAGACTCACTTAACTCTCCTCAAATCTCAACCACTTCCTCACCCTTATTTTCAGTTGATGATCCTGATTCCTATCTTACTAAGAAAATAGAAGCTATCAACTTCCATAGGTTCTGACCTACCTTCACTGTGCCTGTATGTTCCACCTTCTCTCTAATTATTATGGATGAACTAACCACACTCTTAGCAAAGTCCTACCCTTCTACTTGTGAATTCGATACCATCCCTTCACACTTACTTGAGAACACTGCTCTAGTAAATTTCCCTGCATCAAGTTTCTCTCTCTATAGGATCCTTCCAATCACATACAAAATGCTATACTGCTTAAATAAAAAATTTTTTTAAACATTTACTTTTGAGAGACAGAGTGCAAGCAAGAGTGGGGGAGAGGGGGAGGGACAAAGAGAGAGAGAGAGAGAGAGAGAGAGAGAGAGAGAAAATGAATCTTAACCAGACTCTTCACTGTCAGCACAGAGCCCAACATGGGGCTTGAACTCACGGAGTGTGAGATAATGACCTGGGCCAAAGTCCGACGCTTAACTGACTGAGACACCCAGGTACTCCAAAATGCTATATTCCTATTAAAACAAAACAGAAACAAATGCTGCTTCTTCCTTCAGCCACCACTTTATTTCTCTCCTTTCCTTTCTAGCAAAACTCCTTGATAGAGCCTTCTATACTTGTAGTCTCCAAGTTCTCTTCTCTGATCCTCCTGAACATCCATCAGACCATGACACTCCACCAAAATTGCTCTCATGGAAGTCACCAAATAATCCCCACACTGCCAAATCCAAAGGTCGTTTCAGTCCTTGTCTTAGGTGGAATGCTAAAAACATTTGACCAATGGATCCCCTCTCCATTACTTACTTGGGTCCCAAAATACAGTACTCTGCTGGTTTTTTCTCTAACTTCTCTGGTTGTGTCTGTTTCTTCACCTCTCTAATCTCTAAACATTGGGGTGTTCCAAGGCTCAGACCCCAGACCTATTCTCTACCTTAGCTATAGCTTCCTTGCTCTATGATGATGGACCCCAAATTTATAGCTTTAGCCCCAAACTGCAAAATTAACATCTAACTGCCTCTCTGACATCTCCATTTGAATGTCTAATAATCACATCAAACAACATATCCAAAGGGAACTTCCGCTATTCCCTCCCAAACCTGTTCCTTCTGCAGTGATTCCTGTTTAGGTCAATGGCAATTCCATTCTTCTAGTTTTACAAGCCCTAAGCTCTGAAGTCATCCTTAGTAATTCTCCCTTACATCCCACATCTGATTCCACACCATGTTCTGTTGGCTCCACCTTGTACATATATCCAGAATTTGAAGACTTCTTACCATATCTTTTGCTACCCCTCTGTCCAAGTCACCATCATGGCTTCCTGGATTATTTCAAAACGACATTAAAATTAGCTTCCAGCTTTTATACTGCTCCCTTTACAATTTGTTTTCAACACAGGAGTAAGAATGATCAAGCAAAGTCAGATCATGATACTCGTCTATTTAAAACCCTGCAATAGCTTTCTGTCTGTCAGAACAAAAGCCAAATTGTAGAAGAACCTCATTTCCCATTACTATTCCCCTCCCTCTCCTTAGCTTGCACCAGCCACAGGGGCTATAGCCATATTAGCCCCTTCAAGGAACAAAAAAATATGTCAGGCCTGCTCCTACTTTATTTAGGGCTTTTGCACTTGTCTGCCTGGAATGTTCTTCAAAATGTCCACGTGGCTCACTATTTCACTTCTTTTACCCAAATGTCATCTAAACATTTAGACCTCCCTGGGCACCTAATTTCCCAGTGTTCTTTTTTTTTTTCTCAAGTACTCATGATTTGACATAGTACGTATTTTACTTTAACTTGTTTCTATGCCGCTCATACTAATCTGTGCGCTTCGTTTATGTCTTTGGGTTTTTTGATTCTTTTGTTCATTGCTAAATCTCCAGCAACTCAGAACAGTGCCTAGCACATAGTCAATGTTCAATAAAAATTTTGAAAATAAATCCACCACTGGATTGCAGTGCTTCGTATAGATGATAAACATAGTAGTGCTCAGAAAATATGTATTGAAAAGAATGAATGTCAAAAAGATGGTGCTTTCCTTTAAAAATATACCAAGACAAGATGAAATCTAGCTTATCACTCTGTACTGTAGAAGGAAACCAATTAAACCATGAACAACTTAGAAAAATGCATGGGATCCTTACCTAGGTCAGCTCTTGCCTCTTTTTTCTTCTGAGATGCCCAACCCACTATGGAGAGCTTATCTCCTCCTGATTTCTCCTCTAAGCCTCTATTCAAACGCCAGATTTTCAGTGTATTGTCATCAGAGCAGGTAGCAATCTATGAGAACCAGGAAGGGAGTCAAGAAGTTTCAATCAAAGACTTACAACAAAGGAAAAATTTTGTAGATCTTAAGGACTCATAAGGAGAATTATTCTGTCTGACACACCAGGATATAGAAAATGATATCTGAAAAATCATATACTTCCATTCTTTGCTTTCAGGAATCACTCCAAATTTCCAAAGGACTCTCTATAGTTTCTTAATAATTCTGCTGGTAGGTCTTTCATTACCAGTCATTTATTACCTGACCTAATGCCCTACTATAAAACCAAGTTCATTTCATTTTTGCCTTAAAAACTTGGGCTAGTCATTATCTTTATAACTTTCTATAGAACTATGACATATATAATTATAATACCTTTTTTACTCTCCCTCTTAAATGATAAACCAGTACATGTCACCATTCAATTTCTACCACTTTCTTCTGAATTATACATGATCTGGCTTACTGCTAAAGTAATGGGATCATTTCCAAGATCAGGCTTAGTTCATGACTCTAGGAAGCTGTGACAAGTAGAATGAAACCATTCCTTTGAGATTCTTTTTAAATAGGTAAAGGAGCGATCTGGGAAAACAACAAGTTCACTAGGCTGAAAGAAGTTAAAAATAACCTTTGCCCCTTTAAAAATATCTGACCATTCCCGATCTTGGTCCCAGCCTTTTATGGCAGAGAAAGTCCAGCCTGAAGAGCTTGTGGCAAATGGCCACTGGTACCAGAGCTGTTCCCCAGCATTTGTTTATATAATTTCTCTATTTCAGTCACTAAAGAGAGAGAAAAAAAGAACACACGTTCTCTTAAGTCTTGGCCCCCAAGAGACTGGCAGCTTTTTCCTTTCCTTACTGGGAGGCCAAAAGAAGACACACATATTTAACTGCTCAACAAGAAATGCCTGGAATCCCCAGTTACTCTATGGTCTATTAATAAGAGTTATTAGTTCCAGAGCACCTACTGTGAATCTGACAATTTACATTTTTTAACTTAATACTCACAATGTAAAAAACCTTGAACTCAAATAACCTCATCTGCAGATTAGAATAAAGTTGTTTGCCCAATGTCACCACAATTAAGTGGCAAAGCTAGAACTGAAATATTATGTTTTTCCAATTTCAGAGCTAGAACCTTTTGTTTTTATACCATACTTACCTTCCTAACTCTAGGCTGGGAGCAAAATTATTTTATTTTATTTTAATGTTTATTTACTTTTGAGAGACAGAGAGAGACAGAGCATGAGCAGGGGAGGGGAAGAGAGGGAGAGGGAGGCACAGAATCCAAAGCAGGCTCCAGGCTCTGAGCTGTCAGCACAGAACCCGACATGGGGCTTAAACCCAAGAGCCGTGAGATCATGACCTGAGCCAAAGTCGGACACTCGGACACTTAACCGACTGAGCCACCCAGGTGTCCCTAGGAGCAAAATTATTTAAAAAAAACTTTTAAAAGGGTAGTCACTAGATGAGTATAGGTAAACAGCCCTGTCATTTCCTAGGAGTCTTTCCTGTGCATATACATGAGGACAATATATGGTGGTTGAAAAAAGATGACATAAATAACTGAAAAATTAAAAAACTATCCCAATTCTACAAAATAGAAAATATATTAAAAGCAGATATTTCACTGGAAGTTACATGGAATCTCAGAAGGAAAATGTCATTGGGATATAATTATTGGTGATTAAAACGATTAAGTTAAAAAAAAAAAAAAAGGCCTATCACGAGGCTGACCACAGAAATGGTTATATAGGGATACAGAAATAAAAAGAAATCCACAGCAGCAGTACTGGAAAGCTAGCAGAGATGCCTTGAGTAGAGCAGACCATAAAAAGTTTCTGGAAGATAAAAAACAGATGGGAACAAAACCTCAAAACTTCATACATGAAAGGAGAGATCTCCACAGAAGTGATATTTCTTGTAAATCCCAATAACCCAAAGACCAGGGGAAGTAGAGGCCAGGAGAGTGACTGGAACTTGGGCCGCTATGTATGAAAGCCCTACATGTACATAAAGATTATGATTATGTTTCTGGTCTTTCTACATTTCAGGATTTTGTTTTTAAGTATTACTGTTTTTTTTTTTAAGTGAGAAATGTCTAAAACATTTTAGAGCTACTTATGTAGTTTTGCCATAGATAACCTAGCACATTAAGACTTCACAGCAAGCATTGTTTAGGCATGTGAACACTAAATTGGATTGTGAAGAACAGTCGAGATGTTACCTTTAATATGTCACATTGATAATATGTAGATAGTTAATAAAACTAGTTTTTTCACCTTAAAATTTTCTTTTTACTTTAGAGTTTCAGATAAAATTTAATTACGTTAAAAACTTAATTCTACGTTTAGGAAAACAATGACTTCCAAGGAATCAAGAAATCCATTCTTATTCTTTAGTGTAAGTTTCTCTACTGGTAGAGAAAAGTAAAATGTGTATGATTAATGCTGACGTAGATCCTGGATGGCCTCTAGTTCTTTCGATCTCTATTTAAACATTAAAGTCTGTATAACACTCAAAATAACCTTGGGAAAATCTACAAATCTGTGATCCACTTTTTAAATCAACTACAGAGATTTATTTACAAACCTTTGTGAAGTCTGATGGACACCAGCACACAGATGTGACCTCTTGAGAGTGACCCTGGAGTACCGTAGGAGGATGCCAGGGTGTGGAGACCTATTACACCATCAAAAAAAGAAAAAAACAAGTCAGCAGAGCAGTGCTAGGTCTCCCAGATAGAGCCTTTGAATATCTCCATATTTGTGCCTTAGATAGCTTTGTTACAAACGTCTCTTAAGTACGCCTAGTTATAGCTCAGAAAAGAGTTCCAATGGGCAAAATATTTCTGCCACCGATCTGAGAAAACAGATATGAACTCAGATACCAGGACAGGACTACCTAACCATCTATATATATTTTGACTAAAATTCAAGAATGACATTTTTCCTCACTTCTTAGCTGGTAACCTTCTGCAAGGATGGGGTTCAGCTGCTAGGTAGTGTGCACTTCAAGGGAGCCCTGTTTTTACATAGCCTAGGCATTTTCAGATCTTCTCTAATCAGTGACTTCTGGGAATACTACATTAGCTAAACCCTGAAGGCATTTCAGACATACTACCAGTTCTCCTGCAACAAGAGGACAGTCTTTCATCCAAAAGACTCACTGATTTTTACCAAAGTCATCCCTTCATTTTGAAGGACTATAAACCATATACTTTTACATGGCACTTTGGTATCCTTTTTGGAAAAAAAGAATCTTTTACAATTTCATTTTGGTTAATTTGATTAAAGAACTCTTGAATTTTCAGTTAAGTTCTGCTATGTTTTAATGAATCAAGGGTCATATTATGCAGTACAACACACATGACTAAGGATCAGATTCCCCGCCTCACTGGATGCCATTAGTGATCTGCATTTGACAGTTGATTCATTCGAGAGCTGTCAATCCCTTTCAGAGGCCATGAGAATTAACCAGCACAATATGGCACAAACTCATTTAACTATTATTAGCACATGTGTTTGAAAAAGAGAAATTATTCCCTTTTCATTTTCCCAAGGCTCTGAATCATTGCTCATCTGTACGAAGAAAGTGGAGGCGACTCTGGAAAGAATATTTGCAAGAATGACTAAGTAAACTTAATAGATTTCCTTCAATTGTAGTGAAGATATTCAACACACTGATTCATAAGGTTCTCCAACTCAATCATTACTACTCCTCTCTTGGGTTAAATGGCACAGGTAATGATTCAAAAAGCAAAAGAAGAGAGAGAACAGAGTCTAATTTGCCTTGCTGGGTTAATTAGAGTTTCACAGAAAAAGCTTTTTCCTGAGTATTAACAAAAAGGATCTCACTTTCTGCTTCCTACAATAGCACAGAGAGCAATAACTCATTCTCTCACAAGGTAGCATATTTTAGAAAAGACTTTCATTTCAGGAGTCACAGAAATTCTCCATCCTTCTCTCTTTGGGATGGCCCCAGCCCATTAAGTTTCTCTTCACCCAAGGCCCAAGCAGAATGGGTAGCAGCAAATTAAAAGGGAGAGAAAACCCTAATGTTCTTTTGACCCTCCCTGGTAGGAACACATTACTCTACTGCATTGTTTTACTCTGCTTATGGCCTCTAGCTTGTCATTTCATGATACTGGCTCTTCTTCAATTTCCTAGGCATTGTAATACCTAAGGAAACCTAAACGTGTATACAAAGGATTAAAATAAATTAAAAAACAAACAAACAAATATCTGCCAATAGAATCCATGTACATTTTTGCATTTACCTATAGGATCTAAGAGAAAAAACAAAAGATCCCTTGGAAAAACTTTTGACAAACTGATAAGATAGGAATAATAATGACAATAAAAGTCAGCATTTGTTGAGCCAGGCACTTTACATAGCTTCAAACGTGGGGGGAGAAGGTTCCTCCAAAAGTTAAACATAGAATTAATTACTAGACGACCCAGCACTTACATTCTTAGATATACACACAGAAGAGCTGAAAATGTATGTTCAAACACTTGTACATGAACGCTCATAGGTGCTTTATTCATAAAGCCAAAAAAGTGAAATAATTTAAATATCTACCAACTAATAAAGGCATAAGTAAAATGCAGTCAATACATACAGTGAATACTCAGCCATAAAAAGGAATGGAGTACTGATATCTGCAACAACATGATGAATCTTGAAAACACTGTGTGACTCTATGTGTAGGATATGTCCAGAAGAGGCAAAACCATAGACAGAACAGAGGTTAGTGCTTGCCAGAGGCTGAAGGCAGGGAAGAACAGAGAGCGACTCTTATTAAAAGGTATAGTGTTTCGTTTTGGAGTAATGAAAACATCTGGGAATGAAATAGTGATGGTGGTTGCACAATATTGTGATTATACTCAAAATCCCTGAACTGTATATTGACAAATGACTAAAATGATGAACCTTATATTCTATGAATTCTATCTCAACAAAAAAAAAGTGGAGAGAAGGACATGAGGTAGGCTGAAATGAGAGGTACTATCCAGCAAGTTTATCTGAATGGTAGTTACAAGCGCTTTCGCAGTTTAGGACTATACTAGCGTGGTATAGTACCCTTGCTGACTACTTGAAGGAGATAAAATGTCCTCTGGTGAAGCTCCAGTTGTTTTTAAATCCTTCCTTTTTATTCAAGTAAGTTTTTATTTATGGTCACTTCATTTTTATAAAACATTACTGTCTTTACATGATTTCATTTTTTTTAAGCCTCTCTCTATTTTTAAGTAGGAAGAGGAAACTAAGTCCAAGAGACATTTACACCTGTGCATCCTGGAGAGGGTCAAACCATGGAAAACTGCCCTCTCTTACATATTCTAGCTGTTATACAGACTTTGCTTCAAGGCATGAAGAGTCTCCGTGGTAAAACTCCTCGAACTATAAACGCAACAGGTAGAAAGAACTGGCTCTAAGCTATGCATGTAATAAACATTTTGTATCCTTAAACGTGCAAAAAAGATGAGCATCTTTCCCCCCAAAATCTCCTTACTATGCCCAGTGAGAAACCAAATCTCATCTTTATTTCTGCCATGAGATCATTTACACTTCCTAAAGTGTCAGGCTCAATGTTTCGCCAGTCAGCGGTAGAATTGACTGTGCCAAATGAGTTTATTTATAACCACTTCAATACTATTCAGCGGCTATAACAGAAATGAACCAGGAAAAGGAGGTGAGGGATAAGAAATTAAAAAGAAAAAAATATATTAACTGTATTTTGAAGCCTTGGGCCTCAGTATCAGAGAGCCTAACTATATTATATCTCCCCTTTGCTGAGCAGTGGTAAAGATTAGAAGGCTATTCTCTTCTGTCTTAAGACCTGAAACTCCTTTATTTCACTGTTTTCTTGTGCCCATGGGCTTTTTAACATAGGAAAAATCCCAACACTTGAAGGAATTCTGACTGCTGGAAACACAGCAGAGCTATAAGATAACTTAACAGCCTGGATACTCAGCTTGCATGGAATGGTTTTAAACTACACCCCCACCTTATTTTTTAATCATGGAAAAGAGAAACTGAGCCACGTCACTAGGCAAATTCAATTTTAGGAGCAGTGAGCTTGCCAGGATCTCAAATATCAGAGCCTGCACATTGAGTTATGTGTGGACAGGCAGGAGAACATCATGTCTGAACCACATCATTCAGCACTGACATGTGACCCTGCCTAGGAATTTAGAAAGGGTCACTCATGTATGTGATAGCCACTGAGTAGACATCTGAAAATGGGTTACTAACAACAGCCAAGTATCTTTACTGCATGTCTCTAAAGAAACTATACCTCCACCCTTATTCCCTGAAACGAAATAAAACAGTTTGTGTACTAAAGGAAATAGAATTGACAATAAAATATATCTGTAAACACATACACCCATGTATAATATACAATTATATGCATAATTACATATATGTAATAAAAAACTTACTTTAAAAGATTTTTAATAATGATCAGTGCATTAAGTATTTTTTGCATAATCTTTTATCATGCTTTTTTGTATGTGTAATTTTCTTTTAAAGAATTAAAAAACTTAAAAAGATACAGACTTTGGTAGGAATAAAATCTTCCTGCTAAGTTGGAAGTCAAATAGAAAAAGGAATGGAGACAAGATAGTGAGAGAAGGAGAAAGGAAAAACAAAAAGAAAAATAAGCATTAAGACCAAATTTGAAACTCAAAACTTAAAATATTAGAAGAAAGCATTAGTGTTGCTAACCTATATCATCAAAGTTTAAAACTCGTATCAGAAAATTTTGTAGACAAGAAACTAAGTAAAAACTCTTATGAATCAGGGTCTCAAGCATGTATTTTACAAGCAAATTTTCATTTAAAAATACAATAAGTAGGGGTGCCTGGGGGGCTTGGTCGGTTAAGCGTCCAGCTTTGGCTCAGGTCATGATCTCACAGCTTGTGAGTTCAACCCTGCTTTGGGCTCTGTGCTGACAGCTCAGAGCCTGGAGCCTGCTTCAGATTCTGTGTTTCCCTCTCTCTCTCCCCGCCTCCCCTGCTCATGCTCTGTCTCTCAAAAATAAATAAACATTAAAAAAAATAAAAATACAATAAATAAAAAAAAGAAACGTGCTTGTAGGAAAAGAGGCAAGTACAACACAAAAGCAATTTGGATAGAACAACGTCTCCACCATGTGACCATCTAGGATATTGTGACTAAAAACTCTTAAGGTAGTGTTGCATTTTTGTACTTCTAGGTATTCAGAGAAATCATTTTTTAGTGTGTCCCCCAGGACCAGATGAAATTAAGCTGAAGACTTATCCTTCATACCTGACAGACTCTACCCTGTCCTAAGCCAACATTAAAGATACGACTTCCTACAGGTTGGCAGGACTTATGAATGATGTAATTGCCTCCTAAGAAGGGATTTGATAACATTGAATCTGGGTCTATGAAGTTTGAGACATTATGACTCTAAGATCCAAAATGTGTGAATTCTGATCATTTAATTCACCAATGTCAGGGACATTTATGATATTACAGGGCAACCTAGAAGATAATTAATTTCTAGCCCTAGGAAAACAATGCCATATTACTCTTATTTCTCTGAACTCCCAGACACTTCTATAATTAATTAGTCCCACAAGAGCTACTTTTCAGTGGTCAGCAAGTACTACTTGTGTAGTATTTCAGTTTTCTCCACTAATGTCAAATGGAAAGCTTTAAATTTCTTTTTAATATATTTTTTAATGTTTATTTTTGAGAGACACAGAGAGAGAGAGAGAGAGAGAGAGAGAGAGGATCCGAAGCAGGCTCTACGCTGTCAACACAGAGCCAACTTGGGGCTTGAACTCACGAACCACAAGATCATGACTGGAGCTGAAGTCAGGCGCTTAATGGACTGAGCCACCCAGATGACCCCACCAGCTTTAAATTTCTTAGCTTATAGTAGTCACTTAGGTATCATTGTTATTTAAAAAGTAAAAAAATATTGGGGCACCTGGGTGGCTCAGTCAGTTAAGTGTCCGACCTCAGCCCAGGTCATGATCTCACAATTCATGAGGTAGAGCCCTGTGTCAGGCTGTGTGCTGACAGCTCAGAGCCTGGAGCCTGCCTCGGATTCTGTGTCTCCCTCTCTCTCTGCCCCTCCCCTGTTCATGCTCTCTCAGTCTCTCAAAAACAAATAAACGTTAAAAAAAAAAAAAAAGTAAAAAAATATTATAAACTTGTGAAATGGGAAATCAGTAAAATAAAAAAATTAAATAATGCTATTAAATATATACAAAAGTGAGAAGCACCTGGACAGCTCAGCTGGTTAAGCGTCTGACTCTTGATTTTAGCTCAGGGCATGAATCTCACGGTTCGTGAGTTTGAGCCCTGCTTTGGGCTCTGTGCTGACTGTAGTGCAGCGCCTGCTTGGGATTTGGATTCTCTCTTTCCCTCTCTCTCTGTCCCTCCCCCGCACTCTCTCTCTCAAAATAATAAACTTAAAAAAATATATATATATATATAAACTTGATAAAGCATCTATTCTATTCTAGTAACCTTAAGATTGAACACTTATGAAAGAGTAAAGGATACAATTGCCATACAAATATTTTTGAGTGTTTTGTGTAAGGCTCTATGGTTAATTTGGGTATAGGATCCTGGGGATTAAAATACTGTATTTTGAAGATATTTCTAAAAAATTTTTATTTACTTATTTTGAGAGAGAGTGTGTGTGCAAGCAGGGGAGAGGCAGAGAGAGAGGGAGAAAGAGAATCCCAAGGAAGCTCCATGCTCAGCGCAGAGCCTGACATGGGGCTTGATCTCATGATCAAGGCAGAAAGGCAGTCCAACATGTTTTTCCAGGAAGTAGGACAAAGTAGTTAAGACTCTCTCCGGTCTTCTGAATTCTCAATTTCCTGATAATCTGTGAAACTCCTGGAGGACACGGATTGTCATTTCTGAGAAGCTCTGGCCATGAAAGTGTGTTATATTCTGACAGGGAGAGGTTTGGCTATGTTAAGAAGCAAGAAGCAACTTGTGTTGAACATCTGATGTAAAGAAAGTTAACGGTATGTGTTTGCATTCAACTTGCTCATCTTAGAAAAAATATTTGTAAGAACACTTTAGTCTCTTTAGCCTCTTTGTGAGGGAAGTTTGGCAACTTACCTTCCAGATATAGGCAGCTTCATCACTTGAGCCACTGACTAAAAACTGGTCATCTGGACTAAGACTGGATTTAACATAGAAGGTAGAGTTTTGATGCCCATTGAAGATAGCCACTGCCAGAGGGGGAAAAAATAAAATTACTTGGTTCTTATTATTTCCAGTGTTCAAATAAATGCAGACAGTATACATGTTCTAACAAGTTTTATTAGCGTATTGACTATTGAAACAGACAGTCAAGCTATTTTCACTAAATTAAAAGGAATTGGACATTGTCACAAAAGTAAAGGAAGTCTCAGAGAGAGGCTTTATATTAGACACACTCTCATGACCTAAGCCCAAATACTTGGTATAGAGCTGGCTATAGAAGAGAAAGTGATGAAAAACATTCCTAAGAAGAATGGAACCAGTCTCCACTCTTTTAGTAAAATGCCTTTATTAGACCCCTCTTTCCCCACCCTGAGGAAGGGCTTTTCCATTGTATAATACATTGGTCCTTCTTCCTCTAAGACTTCAAATCTCAAGGACAAATTTCCTATTTTATTCTTTCCTCACTAGACCTCACAGTGCTTTGAACAGAGTAGATTTTCAAACATTTGTTGCATGAATAAGCAGTAATCAGTGGAAAGAGTTAAGATTTAGGGACAGGTCATTTGGGATGTAGGAATCTATCTTAATTTTTTTGTAGGAGTCTTTTTAATTCCACACTTTAAAAAGGCTGGAAAGAAGTAGCTAATGGGGTAAACTATATGTTCACACGTAAGATACTCCAACTAGGTTAGTTTTAGCCTTCAGGTTTAGACTTCTTACTACCTGTGGTAAAAGGGCAAGTAATCCAATCTAGCACAATGTGCTTGACAGGTTCTTCTACCCTCAGACCAAAACCTGAGGCCTCTGGTATGAGAACACTAATAGGAAATATAAGAAAAATAATCTCACTTATTGGAGAATTTAAGGATACATATAAACAGGAAAAAAAATTCACTCCAATCTTCTAACAGAAAGGAAATAGGAATTATTAAGGGACTTAATAGCTTTCCTTAAGTGGTCATAGAAACCTCTTCCTTTTACCAGAATAAAACTGGAAAAAGATCTTGTAGTTTTTGCTTTTCAAGAAAAAGCCTACATATTAAATAGTTTCCACCACAACACTCTCAGTGTGGAAGTAGAATGTGAATCAATTCAGATATAATTTTCTTTTCACCTATTATGATAGATAAATCCTCACAAAATAAACAGCCTCCTTTGTTCTGAATCCAACTCCAAAACTATATTTATTTTTTTCAACTCTAACTATGAATGGAAAACTACAGACCAAATTTCCCACTAAACCAGTAAGTGTTTACTGCCCTCTGCTGGTCTAATAATGTACACTGTAAATGCTTCACACCTTTTGAAAAATCCTTAAACCTGTATTGGCTTTGATTAGCTTAACTTAAATTAATAATTTGGGCTCTGAAAATGCTTTACTGAAGTAGTTCAGAGTCATCCTTATGAACATCACTTAGTATAATAAAATATTGTGAATTAAAAGCATGGGAAATGAAATATTAAGCCCAGGACCCTCTGAAGTATTTTTAATTAAAAAATTTTTTTATTAACATTTATTTATTTTTTGAGAGTCAGAGAGAGACAGAGCATGAGCAGGGGAGGTACAGAGAGAGGGAGACACAGAATTGGAAGCAGGCTCCAGGCTCTGAGCTGTCAGCACAGAGCCAGATGCGGGGCTCGAACCCACAAACCGTGAGATCACGACCTGAGCCGAAGTCAGTCGCCCAACCGACTGAGCCACCCAGGGGCCCCAGGACCCTCTGAAGTTTTGAAAAAGATAAGCAATTACCAGATGTCACACACACATCTGTCACTCAATTTCTAAGGAACGTTATCTATCTACCTATCTATCTATCTATCTAATACTATTTTAGGAGCACAGGAAAAAGGTCACTAAATTATTAGTAAAGTAGCATTGGGCATATTTGTTCGATGACAGAGGGACAAACTAAACTCAAGCCCCCCTTTAGGGCCACACCATAAAAAAAAATGACACAAAAAGAGCTCTTGTGGGGCATTGGGTGGCTTAGTCGGTTGAGCGTCCAACTTAAGCTCAGGTCATGATCTCACGGCTTGTGAGTTCAAGCCCCAAGTCAGGCTCTGTGCTAACAGCTTGGAGCCTAGAGCCTGCTTCAGAAAAAAGGCTCACTCAAATTATTAGTAAGTAGCATTGGGGTATTTGTTCGATGACAGAGGGACAAATCTAAACTAAGCCCCCTTTAGGGCCACACCATAAAAAAAAATGACACAAAAAAAGAGCCTTGTGGCTATTGGGATGTATAGTCGGTTGAGTCCCAATCTTTAAGCTCAGGGTCATGATCTCACGCTTGTGAGTTCAGCCCCTAAGTCAGGTCTCCAGGCACACAGCTTGAGAGCCCTAGAGCTCTTCAGATTGGCTGTTCTCCAACTCTTGCTCCCCCTCCCCCACTCACTCACACTCTCTCTCTCTCTCTCAAAAATTAACAACATTAAAAAATTTTTTTAAATAAAGGAGCTCTTGTATATTTGATAACACAATTGGGATTGTATTTTTATTTTTTGGAGAAAGATTTTAAAAAGTCTATTTTATATGGCTATTTAAATTAAAAGCTATCCAAGTTCTGGCTTGACTCAGGAAAATAGAAAAAAGTAAGACCGCCTTCTCAAATAACCTTGTTCTTGTTTAGACAAACACCAGAACCATCCAGGGTGTTAGAGATATCAACTGTGAAGCTGTCATAGAATTCAAAATCCTAATAATGGCTTGGGGCAGTCTTTGGAAACTTCTGTAAGAGCCCAGCAATCTCATACTATTTAACGACCTTTCATTCACCACACATTCTACTTTAATGGGAACTAGGTAACTTTGGGGATTGGTTATAGAATTCAAAGTCTGTTTCTGACCTGAGCAAGCAGTTACGGTATCGACATTTAGTTGCCTTCCTAATTGTATATTCCTGACATATAACCCAAATAACCCTTTTCGATGATGTCTAAGAAATTTTCACTTCTTTTTAAAAAATGTCATGATTAGCTTGTCGGTTTAGTCGGTTATGCTGACCAGCCAGGTGACACGCCATCTCACGGTCCCAGTGGAGTTCCGAGTCTCCCCTGCGGTTTGGGCATGGCTCGGAGAGCCTGAGCTTTCCCATTCTTGTGGGTTCTCCCCTCTGCCCCTCCCCCCGTCTCATTGCTCTGCCTTTCTCTGTCCCAAAATGTAAATAAACGCTGAGAAAAAAATTAAAAAAAAAAAAAAAAGTCATAAATATC